TAAATAAATTGAAGGTCTTAGAGATGGATCTGCTCATGAATCCAAGCGAAGATCATCTGACGATACAAAGAGAAAAATGTCACAAAACGACACTGCCAAAGTTGGACGAGCATGTTGATGCACTTAACATCTTTTCGTGATCTAAATCAGTATGCTTGTAGGTCTCCGAAGTAACAATCAACGAAGAAATGCAACGTGAATTTGCACGTCAAAGAGATCACCTCGAACGCACCTTGGCAGGAGTTCGAAAGAAATTGGCCAAAGACACCATCATTCACAAGAGCGAGTTCGTCAGAATCATGCACGTAAGCATTCCTTAGCATTTGACCCGAAGTGCTGTCACTAACGAGCTGAATCCGACTGCCATTGTATTGCACTAGAGTCCGGTAGATTTCCCGTCTAACAGTGTGAGCCGAACGAACAATAGCCACAACATTGATTCTTAGTGAAAAAGAAAGCTTTGCTTAATGTATTGCCCACGCAACTTAATCACACTGTGTGCCTGTGTATGTGTGTGCGTGTGTGTATTTATTCTCCATTTTTGTCGGCAAACGAGCCTGTCATTCATCATCTCCCTCCCACGGGCATTGAAAGAGAGCTTAATTAACGCTACATGAATTTGAAGGCAGGGACTACTTTAATCAACGTTTTGTAACAAAGTTGGTCTCGACAACGGGAACAAGCAATCTGAACGGTTGATTATTTCGTTAAACCCCTCTGCTTTGTTTAATAGTCACCTACCACTCCTAAAGCTAATAAACTTTGCCAGACACGTTTTTGGTCAAATTCACACGTCAATCCATCAAACTAGAGTCATCACTTCATCAAAAGTTGAGTCATTGCCCGCCGAAGTCCAAAGAAAAAGTTTTAACAGGCTTTTCTTATGATAAAATAGAAGCCACGCTAAGGAATCAAGGAATTTGGTGAACCCGCATCCGTGGACTCCTCTTTGATTTTTTTCTGCCATTCTTTGGGAGAAATATTTACGGTTTTGTTAATATTAACACAACTTACCCTTAATTGGGGAGTACATGGCTCAACAATGCTGTCACAACAGAAGCTCTGGAACAGTTTTGAGGTTGTGGTATTACTCATGTGATCACCTGCCCAACAATTCCGTCCTACCAGGAATCCTATTGCCTCAACTCACGGCAGACGGAGTAAGTTTACAACAATGTCCATACGGAAGCTGTTCAAGGTGGTTAAAAAGGGTTGGATTTGCAGTGTTTCGAATTTTGAGATGTTGAAAGCATATGCGTTAGAAATTACTTTCAGTCGGACTTTTAACAATCAACATCACTGGAGACACTCTTATGAAACATGAAATTGCATCGAAAGCGTTAACTACACAAGTTTACTACTAATCGGGCAGATATGTGGCACTGAATCGCAATGGCCCTTCTATTTCGATTCCTCTCATCTTAAGGCAATTTTTGCTTAAAATTGATGATTCCCAGGCAAAGTTGCCATGTTTGTTGATCATGTGACACCTGCACGCCAAAAATGCCACTACAAAAACTCCGAATATGAAAAGTTGTTAAGTTTAGCCAAATTTTCAGTTTTTCCTTTGCAATCGTCAAAGCAAGTTTCAAGACCGAAATTCAAATGTTGAAGGATTAACTTTTGGGCATGAGCCAATAATGTTGTCAAACTTCTGCCATTTTTCTTAATAAGCAGTGGAATTTGGATCATCGACAGCGTTTAAGGCAGTGCCCCGAACCCCATTCACTACAATCATAAGTTCCTGGCATTTATTGCTATACTAAGAGTAGAAAGACACAAAGAAGACGAACTTAAATCTCTCACTTTTATAAACAGTTTTCTGGTTCTCTCTGATTGCAGTTGAGGATAACCTATGGTGGGTGAAAACATATTTCCTATCCTGCTATAACGAGTGCTTTATGCGCATCCGCGACGTTCGCCCTTCATGAATATTAATCACGATGATGCAGAAGAGCATTGCATATTTAACAGTGCGGATCTTTTTGGTCTCTTGTGACTTGACTCTCATCTTAGCAGAAGGCTTTGGCATCAGTCTCATCGCACTGCACATTGATGATGAAGCTACCGCTAGGCGACTATGCCTTATGATGCCTTTTGAGTAAAATGAATTTTGCATCGTGATTAAGGAGAACATGAACTTGATTGAGGAAATAAACAAGCTTCGTGTGGAGTTGCGCAACTCACGTCATCGGGTGCGAGATCTGGAGACAACAATGGGCATCAATCGGAAACAGGGCACTCAGGCGCGCGAGATACTGGCTCAGATAACGGGTCATCGGCCGAACCCGGTTATAGTAGCAGAGCTGGCACAAGCTAACCGTACGCTACACGAGCAATCTCACTTCATGCACCTTCTCCAAGAGCGTCTGCGACTTGGAGCGCAGTACTGCACAGACAACGGGAGCAACGTGGCTGGTGGGAGTCTTCCACCTTTGACTCCCGTTCGCATTGTTGATGGAAAGGGAAGAGAGGGGAAATGGAGACCAGCCACAGAGCCGCAGTCACCGGAAGAGCCATTCATTGTTCCTGAGAAAGCAACACCAAGAGCTAATTCAGTAACGTAGACTGGATTTTGAGGATATAAAATACATGTGGATGAATTTGGATTAAACTTTTCTCGGAGGTACAGATAATTTGGGAGACTGATATGCAAGTTCTGAGCACAGGGTTCAAACCAAAACACGGTAACATGTGCTGCTGACCTTCAGTTTTATCCTATTAAAGGAAAAATAACTTAGGTCATCGGTTTTACATGCCAACACCAATTTAAGGTCGACAAGCTGTTGTACAAAAAGTGTACGTTGAACTCTGTTGAGCCCCTAATACGTAACGCTTTTGTTCTAACTAACCGTTCGTCGAAGTTGTGTGTCAAATCAATGTTTTTTCAACATGTGGTTCTCAAAGTGGGCATAAAAGTTCGCGTTATCACCTCAGCTTAAATGTGTCAGCGATAAATTGTGCGAAATTGGCTTTAAACAAAACATATATGTACACACATATAATTCTACTGATCACGCTGAATCCATTTTGGTGCCTAAGAAAGCTCCTAATCCAGTGATAGCCTATCAAAGCTTGTGCATATTGGCGATGGTTGCGTAGATCCATCGCTTATATTCCACTTAAAAACGTACAAACTAATGAATGATATAAGGCTGAAGAGGAAGGGAGAGACTCATTTAAAATGACTTCGTAATCAGACACCTCACACTTTTTAAGTGGAATGCATAATTTGTGGATGCGCATCCAAACTGTTTTATTGACTGCTTGTACCACAAGAATGTTTTTTTTAGGAAATTGGATACTTAAATGCTACAGGAGAACGGATGCATCATTGTGTTTTAAGTTGGATAGGCACAAATCCCTCTCACCTACTTCAAAAACGGCTACAATGAGTAAGACTATCACAAAAGGACTTCTGAGTGGCGCGAGTTTGCGCTCTCCTAAAAATAAGTAAGTTCAAATGTGTCGAAGGGGCATGTGGCAATGCTGATATCTTGACGCTTCAAGGAGACTGTAGTTGACCAGACTGATGAACAGGCAAGTTTTTTTAATAATATTCCCGACTTAACAGGTCAACGCCCTGATGTCTGTAGGTGTTGCATAAAAAAATTCTTTCAGGGCGTCACCCCGTTTACTCCATCCACCAAAATGATACCAAAAGCATCAGATTGGAGCATAATTTCACCTTATTTCTTCCCGTCACTCGCATTTTTATTTACCTTTGCATAAAGTTGTAAAATGAAATTGGTTGTGGACTTAGAAGGAGCCATCAAATGGGAAGAACACCCGTCTCAAGTGTTTAACTATCCTTCCTTAGCTTTCAAGTTGAAATTCGTTGTAGTTATTTTATGTAAGCGGTTTGTCAGGTTCTTACGTCTTCAATTTCGCTAAAAGTTGAGAATGAATGCGGAGTACACAGAATTGCATACTTTCAGCAAAAGACTGGTCACTTTTTGGCTAGGAGTGGAGTAATTACGCGTTATAAGTACTTGGCATTGTCTAAAACTACCAAAGCAACATTAAGTTTTGAACACGCAAGTCACCAAGCAAAGCTACTCCAGCCTTGTAAGATGTCGTATCGCTGGCTGAAATCAGTAAAAAAGTGCACATTTGCAAATTCCTGATGTTTGCGCTCCTATAATCTTTCAGGAAATGCAGACCTTGTGTCTGAAGTTGAATATAGCGCTTTAAATCTACTGCTTACCAAGATGAGAAATGGATAACCATTTTAATATCTTGAAGCTTTGGGACAAATGCAACTGCTGCGCTTATGAACACTTTCTTTGAGTTTTACAACTGTGACCTGCACAAGGACCTTTAGAGGCCAATGAATGTGTCAAAGGGATGCCATTTCACACACTCTTAGCCTATAGGGCAAGCAGCCTTACTCTAGCAGGGCGTCTGGGCTAATTCCCTCACCGCTTGTTATATCTATCTTTGTTAAAACAGAAAACATCAAAGGTAAACCCTTTTACGCAGTTCTAGTAATTGTTACAAACATTTGCGAACATTAATGTGTATTCTACCGATATGTTACGATCCACAAGTTTTTAGGTCTTTTACAACAAATAAATGTTTTAAAATAATCGCTTCTGAACTACCTTTACATACATGCAGAATTTTGATCGGAGAAGATGGTAAGGTGACACCCATAACAGGAACTTCGCATACATCGACAGGTGAAAAGTGTGTCCCACATTGTGCAACACTGACTATGCTGATGGCCATTGGAGGCAATGGGTTGGTGAGCCGGTGTGGGTGCGCTCTG